AAAATACATTAAGGTCCCAAAAAGTAAAGACCCAATCCAAAAATGGACATCCAAGATGAACACACACTTCTCAGAGGAAGAAATACAAGAAGGAAATAAATACATGAAAAAATGTTCCACATTATTAGCCATTCATGAAATGCAAATTAAAACAACACTGTAATACTATCTTACCTCAGAAAGAATGGCTATTGTAAAGAAATCAACCAAAAACAAATGTTGGAGAGGCTGTGGAAAAATGGAGCTCTTCTTCACTGTTTGTGGGAATGTAGACTGGTGCAACCATTATGAAAATCAGTGTGGAGACTCCTCAGAAAACTAGTACTGGAAATCCCATTCAATCCAGCTATCCCCCTTTGGGGAATTTTCCCAAAAGAACTGAAAACATCATATCATATTGATATATGTGTGCCTATATTTATAGCAGCACAATCTGTGATAGCCAAATCTTGGAAACAACAAAAATGCCCATCACCTGAGGAATGGATGAAAAAGATGTGATGTTTCTATACAATGGAGTATTACTCAGCTATAAAGAAAAATAAATTTGAATCCTTCATATATAAGTAGATGTAATGGGAAGCTATACTCATAAATGAAATAAGCAAAAAAAAAAAAAAAAAAGAAATAAACCAAGCCCACATGTATAAATACCATATTGTCTCCCTAGTGTAAGAACTCAAAAGAAGAAATAAAAATTGAAAGGTATAACACAGTTAAATGGAAAGAGAGAGCTTAAGGATTCAACAACATAAACACAGAAAGGAAAGAAGTAGGAAATATGGCAGGGACTAAACCACACATTTATATAAACAAAATGGTTAAGACAATGGTCCTAAAAACTTCCATCAGGTTTTTGAAACTAGCAGTTAATGGGTAGAATTCTCATCCTGACTAACTCTATATGCTGATTTCTGTGAACTAAGCCACTACATTGTGGACAGCAATGTATAATACTAAAACCATGCTTAAAGTACCTGTCATTTTGGTCTTCTAAATGCATACTGCTTCTAATGTCATATCAGTTATTGCTATACTCTCTTTAAAGTAAATGTATGTTTAACAAAAAGGTAATAAAAGTAAACAAGGGACAAGAAAAAATGTAGCAGGATTGTACTGCTCCAGTGCTGAATATGGTTTGATTTCTAAATATGTGTCAAAAATGCATAATCGTTTTTTAGCATTCTATAGGGATTTAAATTTTAGAACATCCATTATTGTTGGAAAATAGCAGTTTCATTTTATGTCTAAGCTATGTAATATTCAGTCAGATAGTGATGGTAAGTTTAACTGCCTGTGTTAAAGGGTAATATCAATAAACTTCTCTTCTGGATGTTTAACACCTAAAGTTTGCAGACCAAAAATTAGACACATAGAAGGGCTAAAAAGATAGTCAATATTTTGGCCCTAACCCTTCAAGGTCACTGAGGACTCAGACATACGAGAATCTTTGCTGTGACATCCTATAACTAGTGGTGTCCCAAATTTTCTGATCAAGGAGATTATGGGGCCACAGAGGAAAGTGATCAACAATGTGGAGTGTGCCTTAGGAAGTCACCTGGAGAGAAAACTTCTCTCAGGCTTTCACAGGGAGCAGATTGGTCAAGCAATGGCTGTGACTCATCCAGATGGCTGACACTGATGGAAGATCCATAAGGTGCTGTGCATGGTTTCAGGGTAATCCTGAGGGGGTTTTGATTGACCTTAGCAGATAGCAAAAGTTACATTTTTAGTTATTATAGGTCTTGCCTTAACTTTGTCTTAACTATCCAGCAGAAAAGTGTAACCATGAGGTGTAAAAAGTAAAGCTATATTAATATGCTGAGCTGTGAAAGGCTGAAGTCAACAACTTGGGACAATTGCCAGTTGTGCTGGTAACTCATTACTATTACGGACTATTAGACTATATTGGGTTATTTTGCTGAATTCATGTAGCTACAATATTTGGACTGGCATCAAGTATGAAAAGATGCTTTAAAGACTTCTCCAAATGCAGCTTCACTCACAGCAGTGGAATACCCATCTCTGACAAAACAAAACAAAAAAGGGGGATATAAATAAAGGACTGTTTTGTAGTGGAAAAAAAACCATATATGTATATACAAGTTAGTTAGGGTAGATATATAGCTGCTTTCTCTGTTCATTGAGGAGAATGGTTTGTACTAATAGCGTAGACAAGATATCATGGCTACGTCTTGTCCTCTGAACAGCTACTGTGAAGACAGTATGCAATGTATTAATTATTGTAAATGTCCGGCTAACCTGTTTTTGAAACTGTTTCATTGCTATTTTGTCTTTTTTTCTCATTAGAATAAGTAAAAATTTTTTTTAAAAAACCAGGTTTTCAGGGAAGTCAAAGTAGCCTTCTGTTGGGAGGTGACACTGAGACTTTCATAGCCAGGGAACAGAAGTTAATGCCTTGCTTCAAACTTTAAAAAACAGACTGAATAAATCAGTCCATCTTCTTCCTCTCCCTCCCTATTCCTCTCCCCCCTCTTTTTCCCCTCTGTCTGTTTGAACCCAAGCATACTGTACCCCTAATGAACATCCCTACCAACCCCTTTTTTGAGACAGTCTTGCTAACTTGTCCAGGTGGGACTCGAACTTACAATCCTCCTGTCTTAGTCTTCTCAGTGCTGGAGTTCTAGGTATGAACCCAGCTTGAAATTCTTGCTAGAGGCTCATGTAGCTTGTTACTTTAGGTTGAAGCTGATGCTTACTTGCCATTCTGCAAATCCTAGAGCCTTTGAGAATTATACCAACTCTACTGTACCTGTGTTCTAGCAGAGAAGCAAGCCATTGAGAAGAGAGTATGTGTGTATTGTCAGAACACTTAAGACCTGCTGCTCAGGAAAAAAAAAAAAATTCTTTAAAATAGTACTGCTCGGGGCAGGGGAGATGGCTCAGTAGAATAAGCGCTTGCCTGGCAAGCACAAAGGCCTAAGTTCAATCCTCAGTTCCGGAAAAAAAAAAATCTAAAATAGTACTGCTCATGGACAATGTGCTTACTTACCCAGGAGGTCCTATGGGATGAATAGTGCCATCAATGTTGTTTTCAAGCTAGCTAATGCAGCTTCCATTCCGCAGCCCGTGGGTTAAAGCCATTTCAACTTTTAAGTCCTATTCCTCTTGAATTGCATTTTGTGAGGTAATAGCTGGAATTGAATGGACAGTGATTTTTCTGCTGGTTCTGGGCAAAGTTAGTCAAAAGGCTTCTGGAAAGGGCCTGTCATTCTAATGGCACTAAGAACATTACAATTTGTGTGATGAAGCCAAAGTATCAGTGCCAACAAGAACTTGCAAGAAGCTGGTTCCAACCCTGTAGGCTTAGACCCACTCTGAAGACTTTGTAACACCAACTTAGAGACTGTTTTGGCTCAAAGCACTGATCCTTCACATGGATGACTAGAACTCTTGGGTCTTGGCCTTTGTTTTTGTGTCTATCACCTTTGTTGCTTTGAACTTTGGGTCAGAGTCTTGCTTGCTTCTGCATTGTAAGAAGTGTCTAAAAACTGGAGCTATAAAGCTAGTTAGCCATAAATTTATCTTTTCTGGGCTGGGGAGATAGCTCAGTAGAATAAACACTTGCCAAGCAAGAGCCTGAGTTCAATCCCCGGTTCCGGGAAAAAAAAAAAAAAAAAAAAAAAAAAATCTTTTCTCCCATACCCTTCAAGGCTGAGGATACCTCAGTAAGAGTAACTAAGGTATTTTCAGAATTTGCAGGGACACTCTAATCCGGGCATTGTCAGTTGTCAGCTCTTACAGTAGTCTGTTCCACACAAACTGGATGGCTTCTCACATATTCAGTCATTATTGTAGTCCTTGGGTTCCAGAACAGTAGAACTCAAGGCAATTTGCTTAATAATATGACTCCCTTCCCTTCCATTCTCTCCCCTTCCCTTCCCTTTTCCTGCCTCCCTTTTCTTCTTTTCTTCTTCCTTCTTTCTTTCTTTTCTTCTTTACATTTTCTCAGCACTAGTGTTGAACCCAGGGCCTTTCCACTAAGCTACATCCCCAAAAGATTTTTTGTTTGTTTGCTTGTTTTTGAAAATTTTGAGACAAGGTCTCACCAAGTTGCTAAGTTTCCCAGGCATGATCCTCCTGCCTCAGTCCCTCAAAGCTATGCCTGGTTGAGTTGCTTCTTAAGGACCAGAACATCAAGTGGTTTCTTTTTTTTTTTTTAATTTTATTTATTTATTTGTGTGTGTGGGGGGGACCAGCTCAGCCCACCAGGGGGTGGGGCTGGCTGGCATGTGGTGCTGGGGGATTGAACCGCGGTCCCTGTGATTTGCTAAGCTTGTTCTAAGTAGGTGCTTTAGACCACTGAGCCATCTCACCAGCCCAGGTGGTTTCTTGAGAGGGAATCTGTTACTGGTGAAGATGCTGCAAACATTGTTGACAGAACAACAAAGGAGTACTTTGAGTAGTAATCCTTTAGAGTACTATATAAAGTTGGTAAAGCAGCAGCAAGTTTCAGGAGAATCAAGTGTAATTTGGAGAAAGTTTTATTGTGGATAAATTACTGTCCAACAGCATCACTTGCTACAGCTTTCTAAAAAAAAACCCAAAACAAGTTAGTTGCTGCTAAAGTCAGTGGGGGAAGAATAGGTCAGAAAAGGGATCCTACATTTTGGATGCAGGTAACCAGGACTGGAATGTTGCGGCCTGCGCTAACTCACAGAAGCTCAGCTGAAAGTGAAAGATCTCCCTTGGAAAGGAGCTGTGCACCGTGGCACAAGCAAGTTACACTGTGCACGGTGTGCAGTGTCCCCTGATGCACGGGAGCTGGTCTCTGCAGGTTATTGTTCATGACTCTATTAGGCAGTGTAATCCATCTGAGGCACTGTGTCACTAATGTACTAACCTTGTGGAAGCCCATGAGGCATTGAAATGGGCTATTACAGACAACATCTGTCTTTATATTCGTGCAGCTTAGACTGTTACTATAACATTGCCCTGTTCTTGTGGAACTTAAATTTTCCTCTTCTTTTGGTTCTCAGATCATTCAAAATTTCACTAAAAGGATCCAGACCAAAATTAAAGATCTTCTACAGCAAATGGAAGAAGGGCTGAAGACAGCTGATCCTCATGATTGCTCTACTTATACTGGTTGGACAGGTGAGAATGTGGGGGTATAATAACCTATGTTTTATTCTTGGATCATGAGATGTAAGACTTGGGTTTAAACTTTCCTTTTCTGCTGGGCATGGTGGTGCATGCCTATAATCCTAGCAGTCGATTGGCTGAAGCAGGAAAATCACCACAAGTTCAAGGCCATCCTGGGATACAAAGTGAGTGTGAAGCTAGCCTAAACTACATAACGAGACTCTATCTCAAAAATAGTTACTTAAATAAATAAATATTTTAAAAATTAAATTTTCCTTTCTTTTAAAAATGGTAATGTTTATACCCTTGGAGTCTTGAACTATGTCTTTATTGATAAGATGTTTTGTAATTTTATTTCTAAGGAAATACTTAGTACCAGAAATTTGACCGGTAGTATGTAGTATGCCATATTTTTATAACATTATTTAACCTAATATATAGTTGTAAAAATGTGTAATAGTAGATGTGCCTTATGGTTTTGTTGTTGTTGCTGTTGTTATTGCTTTAGTCTTGTGAGTTGTGTTTGATTTTCTCCAGTTTGTTTCATAAACTGTTAATTTTACTGTTGTACTCAACTTGACTCATTGACACACATGAAGGCTTCTATTTTAATTTTAGAAGCAACCAGTAATATAATTCATATCACCAAGCATAATTTCAAGATACACTTGCCTCAACTTTACATTTGTACTATTTTACTAGATAGCTATACATTATAGTAGTTATTTGGAGTTTATAAAGGAAATGAGATAGAGTATCTTTTTCATGGATTGAAGTTTGATTAAATTGCTATTAATGATTAGCATATAAATTTAGAATCCTTTCTAGCTAAATTTTTCTAGTTTAATTAATAAATATATGTTACAGGTATATATGTTAGAGATACCAGAAACTAATGCCTGGCTTTGCAATACATAACCAAATCCGATAGCTTTATATTAATATTTACATTCATTTTCATGATGTTTCATTTATTATTTGCCTTTTGTGAATGGAACATTTACACATTCACATTAGAATTAAATATTTCAGCAGAGTGTGGTGGCACACACCTGTAATCCCAGTGCTCAGGAGGCTGAGGAAGGAGAATGGCTGTGAGTTCAAGGTCAGCTTGGACTACATAATGAGTTCAAGGCCAGGCTGAACTGCATAGTGAGACCCTGGCTCAATAAATAAATAAATAAATAAAATAAGTATTTCAGTCTTACATGCCTAGATAGACCTACAGAGTTGAAGAAATTAAATATAAGGAACATTTTGGGAAGGAAAATATACTTGGAAAGGAAAAATGACATGCTATTAGTAGAATAAGTTTCACCAAAAAAGTCTTACTTGCAGTACTTCCTCTTGTTGTTGGAAGGGTTGTGTTTATCTCCAGCGTTAGGCTCCAAGCTGGACATACCCAGGGAGAGCAATTACTCCAAGAACACAGGGACCCGCTTTTCTGGCTAACTGCTTGCCTCATGTGGTTGTTCCATAAGTGGCAGGTGACTCGTTGGTTAGTTGGTCAGTCGGATGGGTTGGTCACTAAAGAAAATTGAAACAATTTTAAGAACAGGAAAATTAAAAAGAAGGTATAAAATGCAGCAAAGTAGTTGTTTAATTCAGGGTAATGCAGGAGGAAATGATATGTGAGGAATACAGAAAACAGATCCAAGGTTGCTTGAGATACAAAGGAAAGTGAGTACTCCCTGGAAATGGGTGAAAATTAATCAGGAAAGGGAGGGCTTTGGTAACGCCCTAGATTAGGAGCAGGTGTACTGAATACTGCATTAGGACAAATAGCAGGAGAGTAGGTTTAAACTTGTTTTATGTCCTTTTCTACCCCTGATTTTTGTGTCTTGTTTTTTTGTTTCATTTTTTAAATTTGTGTGTGTGTGTGTGTGTGTGTGTGTGTGTGTGTGTCCAGCTCAGCCCACCAGGTGGCGGAGCTGGCTGGCATGTGGTGCTGGGGGATTGAACCACAGTCCCTGTGCTTTGTTAAGTTTGTTCTAAGTAGGTGCTTTCCACCACTGAGCTATCTCACCAGCCCTTTGTTTCATTTTCATTTTGAAGAATTTTTTTATGTTGCCCCCCTTGAGACAGATTACGTAGAAGAAGATAGCTCATATAATTGTGAGAGAATACTCCAAAGGTGGAAAGAGGGCTCACAATGCCTTTCTCTGGGACTCATTCCAGGCATAGCCCTGCTGTACCTGCAGCTGTCCCGTGTCACTGGTGACCAGACTCACCTGCTGCGGTCCCTGGATTATGTCAAGAGGACGCTTCGGAATCTGAATGGCCGCAGGGTCACTTTTCTCTGTGGAGACGCGGGGCCACTTGCAGTGGGAGCTGTGGTCCATCATAAGCTAAAGAGTGACTGCGAGTCCCAGGAGTGCATCACAAAGTGAGCTTGTAAAACGGGGAATGTTTTTGCCAATTTCTCAGTTGAATGTCTTTCAGAGGCAAGACTTTCAAAAATGGAAATTATTTTTAATCGCTCTACTATTACACACAGAGCTCTCCAAAAAGTGAAGTGGCTTATAAGGTAGCCTTGACCATAGTGATGGCATCCTATGCTGTTTATTTTCGAGCATGGGTATCCCTTAACGTGGGGGGAATACACATGTTTTTAATCAAATTTCTCCTAAGCAGTTGGGTTACCTTTGATGCATGCAAATGCGCTTTTGTGACTTAGGCCAGGAGAATGGCAGAATCCATCCCTAAGTAACTGACAAGATATGCTAATGATGGAAGAGTTACAGAATATTGTGCCTATTGTTTTGTGTTGTTTCTTAATGAAGCAGAAACGAGGGCTCACTCCTTGGGCCCTGGAGAGTGTCTGATACATGCCAGTCCGCTTTTTTTTTTTTTTTTTTTTTTTTTTTGTGGAGCCGGGGATTGAACTCAGGCTCTTGCGCTTGCCAGGCAAGCGCTAATTCTACTGAGCCATCTCCTCGGCACCCATTGATGTTTGTTGAAAACTCAGAGGAGTCAGACACATTCCTGAGTCCAGGTGCATTTCAGTAATTTTAAATTACTTTCTTCTAATGATGGATTTCAGAATGAAATATCTTCTATTACATGATTTAGAATACATATGAAGGCAAAAATTTTGAGCATAAAGACTTTTTTACTTAATTTTGATATTTGGTAGAGGACTTAGTAAAGTGGAAAAGTTTTACCTGTTTCCTGGGTTTATATTTTTGGAATCATAATTTAAATTAAAAATTTAAATAAATAACAGCTAATTCCCCAAGTGATAAGGTAAGTTAACTGTGTGAGGAAGAGGTATTTTAAACATTTCTTGGGAAACTGAATTTTTCTTTTTCGTTAGACTTTTGCAGTTGCACAGAACTGTCTGCCAGGAGTCTGAGCTCCCTGATGAGTTGTTATATGGACGGGCAGGGTATCTGTATGCCTTACTGTACCTGAACACAGAGATTGGCCCAGGCACTGTGTGTGAATCTGCTATTAAAGAGGTAATGTGGGATGCTGACCTACATTTTGCAGTACAAATGTGGAATTTTTTTAAGTTCATACTTTCTTCACCCTTTATTGATTCAGTTAGTTTTACTGGAACCAAACAATAGCAACTTCAAACATTTAAAATCACTATTTCCATTTGGTGAGATGAATAAGGCCCAAGTGGCAGGGACCCATCCCCTGTGTCTTACTGGCAGCTTGTCACGTTGTTCACCTGCATGATCTGGGTTGGTTTGGCACTGCAGCCTCTGGCTGTGGAGATTGGAAAAAGGAGGTGGAGGAGGAGAAGGAGCTTCCATTGTCAGGGCTTATCTACGAGTTTCCACCTCTTTGTGTTCATATCCTGTCCATTGCCAAAACTTAGGGAAAAGGCTCTGTTGAGCCTCTCTAGCTCTGAAGCCAAATGCCTAGCTGAAACTTGGAGTACTCTACCAGGAGAATGAGAGGAACATGGACATAAGGAAACAGTTAGTGCCTTTACCACACAGTCACTCCAGACACGATATTCTTCTGATCTGAGAACCTTCATGCCATAGCAGACTACATTTCATTAGTCTGTCATTAGTGAAGCCAGTTCCTCCAGCTTTCTTCCCTGAAATTCTTTTGGGGAAAACATTGCAGCTACAAAGCAAAGGAAATATCTGGAACCATTTTTAATTAGGAAGTTTAAGTTTAGTAAACTTTTCATACAAGGAACTTTTTGATTCCTTGGCTAGACTTCTTAACATCTTTGTCTATTCTGACATTGTCTTCCCATTCCTCTCTGTCTGTTCTTACTGATTTATAAAATGAATAGTAATATTTTAGCCCCCATTTAAAGATATTTATTTATTTATTTATGTATTTGGTTGTTGCAGGGTCTCACTGCGCAGCTCGCACTCGTGGTGATCCTCTTGCTTTCAGCCTCCCCAGTACTGGGATTACACATGTGTACCACCACACCTAGACTCTGGTCAACTTGGGCTGGCACAGCATGTGGGGCTGGGGATTGAACTGCAGTCCCTGCGCTTGCTTAAGCTTACCTAAGCAGGCACTTTAGTCTGCTGAGCTGTCTCACCAGTGCTTAAAGATTTTAGATTAAGTAAAATTTTTCTCCCTGCTTCATCTCTCTCTCCACATACATTATTTATGTTAGTTTTACCAAAATAGGTACATGTAATTTTTTTAGAATTATGTGTCTCAATATCTCTACAGGTAGTCAATGCTATTATTGAATCTGGCAAGACTTTGTCAAGGGAAGAAAGAAAAACTGAACGCTGTCCCTTGTTGTATCAGTGGCACAGGAAGCAGTATGTTGGAGCAGCCCATGGCATGGCTGGAATCTACTACATGTTAATGCAGGTAGGAAACTGTACTGTGGAATAACAAATGCAGCAACTGCGTTACTGTGTGCTCAGATCCACTACGAGTGGCATTCAGTCCTTGGTACCAAGCAGGCGGGCTGAACCAAGATGCCTCCTACTTTGAGCTGCAAGTGCTTAAACTCTCCTTTGTGAATGAGAAGCACCAAAGAGTACATTCTGTATGTAGTTTTATACCAAACTTGTTGTTCATCCAGCCAATTACATTCTAATAAGTCAAGGAGTATAGCCTAGAATTTAGATGTCTTTGACTAACAAGCATATATATTCTTTTTTTAAAATTTTAATTCAGATTTTTAAAATCTACTTTATACTGATATTGCCTAACAGAAAATAGGAAATTTACTAGGAAACCTTGTGTCACATGTTACTAACTGTGCAGAAGTATAAATAAAATGCTGTTTTGTTGTGGAAAAAAATATATATGTATACACAAGATAGGATAGATATACAGCTACTTTCTCTTAGTTCATTGAGAAGAAAGGTTTGTAGCAATATGGTTTAGACAAGATATCATGACTGCATCTTTTCCTCTGAATAACTACTGCAAAGACAACAATATGCAGTGCATTGTTTATTGTAATTGTCCTACTGACCTGTTTTGAAACTTCATTGCTGTTTTATCTTTTTTCTCATTAAAATGAATAAAAAAATATAAAAAAGAAAACAGGAAATTTATATCTCATAGGACCAAAGCCTCCTCTTTTGTAATTAATTGTGTTTATGATTATAGAAAGTAAAAAATGCACATATTCTGATTGAGAATTTTCTTACTAGTGCAGAATTTTCTACATATATACTCTGAGAGTTTTCTTATACATTTCCAAAGTAACTAAAATTCCATTTAATTTTACAATGATGTTATTCTGAAGCTTGTAGATTTTGTCTATGCATTAGGGTTCTGTAGGAAAACACACACACACCCTGAAGCACTTACTGCAGGAACTAGCTTCATGCAGCAGCGGTGGTGACCAGGAAGCCCCACAGTTGTGTAGAAGCCTGAGGCCCAGGAAGGCTGTGATGCGACTCCAGTGTGCGTGCAGCACCTGAGGGTAGGGGAGCTGCTCTGCAGTTGCAGTCTAGGGCAGGAGGGAAGCAATGTCCAGCTCACTGCCGGGCAGCTTCCTTCCTTCTTGGCATTTGGCTCCACGCAGGCCACAGTGGACTAGATGCCACCCATGCCACAAAGGCCACGTGCTTCGCTGCATCCAGGAGCTCAGCTCTGCTCCCAGATAGAACACCTGCAGGTGCACCCAGAAGTCATGTATGTGGGCGCTTGTGGCTCCTCATACTGACAATGCAGGAGCCATGTATGAAGACGGTAGGTACTCTGTCTTTCCACAAAATGTTTTAACAGTAGATCAGGATTTTTTAATATGATAATGCCCATAAAGGGTAACAGTGTAATGTGCAACCCTGCTACTGTGGCTTAGAGTCAGTGATTTAGTTTGACTTTATTATATATGGGAAATTTCTTTGAGAGAAGTAACAGTCAAGAGACTTTCCACTAATTTGCTTTTAAAATGAAGAGCATGGGACACTGTCAGCCACATGTTTTGCTTAGAAGTGCACAGGAATTTTCATGGAAGGTTAAACTGTGGTGGAACTGGCTCAGGAATTGGCTTGCCCATTCTTTCCCTGCCCCACGGCCATACACGTGCCCTTGTGTGGTCAGGCGGTCATGTGGCAGTAGTGCCCACTGTGTGCTGTCATTGGGAAAGTACCAGAACAGTATATCTGGAAATTTAAAGTATTGCTTAAGCAGAGCTTTATTTTCCAGTGTCAGAGCAAAGGCAGTTCTTTTGTCCTTCCCAAACAGTAAGACAAAGAAAAAACCACATAATTCTTTGATAAAAAACTCAAATTCTTTTTTTTTTAAAAACATTTATTTTTTTTTTAAATTTTATTTATTTATTTGTGTGTGTATGTGTGTGTGTGTGGGTGGGTGGGTGTGTGGGCCAGCTCAGCCCACCAGGGGGCGGGGCTGGCTGGCATGTGGTGCTGGGGGATTGAACCGTGGTCCCTGGGCTTCGCTAAGCTTGCTCCAAGTAGGTGCTTTAGACCACTGAGCCATCCCACCAGCCCAAAAAACTCAAATTCTTTGATAAAACTAGAAAGCATGTGATTCAGTCACTTCCCAAAAGAGCCCTGTCTGTGAGTGTATATGGCTTTGGGGGAACATTCTCAACCTAAACTATAATGCAATCTTTCTCCTACTTTGGTTTACATCTGCACAGCTTGGGGCTCAGTGTTTTCTAGTTTGAAAATGTTTGGAAAGTCAAACATCTTAGAGAGAAATAAACAATAGGGGAGGAAATTGTAAGAAAAGTGGAAAATTCATTCAAGAAGTCCAATATTTATTAGGACATCAAGTAAGGGAGGACACTCATTGGCAAGAAGGAATTTTAATAAATGTACTAAAAGAACATATTCTAGAACTGAGACTTGAGTCACTAAATTGAAAATACCTACCAAGCTGCTGTTCAGTGAGTGGGGGAAAAATTCCACACCATGCTTTCCACTGTGAAAACATAAGACAGAAAGATGCTTAAAAGTTCAGAAATGGAAATCAGGTTACATACAAGGCTGGACATCAGAATGGCATCAGACTTTGTAAGAGTTCCAAGTTGTGAGTGAAAGTGATTTCCTTCATTGAGTTCTACCTAGATAGTTATCAATTAAATGTAGGGTAGAACAGAGACAATTTTAAACAGCCAATTTCAAAAACCTTAATTTACCTGAACCTTTTCTTTAAAAGCTCCTGAGTGTGATATCTACCCAGAGAATATAGTTTACGATGAAAGAGGGGGTATGAGATCCAGGCAAAGGCCGGAAACAAAGGGGAGTGACTGGAATCTCCAGGAAGGGGTGGGTGGAAATTTCAGGGCAGGAATTGTTTCCAAGACCTAGACAGTAGCCAGTGAAAACTGGAGGAAGAGAATAGGGGCACAGTTCCTTGAGAAAATATCCCAGGATGTGTCTATACAGAAAATTACATGGAAAGACTTGACAGGGCTGTTAATGGGTACAAAAGAGCTTCGGTGGCAATTCATAGAAAACAAAGCAAATAAAAATGTGAGGAAGTCACTGTAAGATACATATAGGTAATTTACTGTATCCCTCTATCAGCAGCAAGCGATACTTACATAGTTCAATCTGTAAAAAACACAGTATGAAGTACAACCGAAATAGTGACTGGAATAAGACTCCTACATGACTGTAAGAGGGGACAGGCCATAGGTGAGATCTGAGATGGAAAGTCAGGGCAGCATCACCCATGCATTATTTATTTATGTATTTATTTTCCATAATTTTATTGAGAAAATGGCAGAAGGATTTTTGTTTTGTTTTGTTTTGCTCCCAATGCTTTCAGGGCAGGTTTGGCTGGCTTGAGTTGTGGGGATCGAACCACAGCAACCTGAGGCTGACTGCTTTGTTGAAGCAGCCACTTAAAGAGCTGAGCTAAGGGGCAGGCCCCCACCCATGCATTATTTAGGGTATCGAAGAATGTAGAAAAGCAGCTCAAATAGCAGAACTCAGTTGTGTCCTGGAAACATACACTGGCTGTCATTGTTAGCAGTCAGCTTCAGACGCATATTTTATTTTTTTTACTTTTAAAACTTTATCTTTTGTCTTATAAAAGTAATTTTTTAAAATACCATTAGCATTTTGGAAGTACTGTTGTGATGCGCAGTTTGACAAAAAGATCAAATACGTTCTGTAATATTTTTTAAAAAGATTAAATTTGTTTTACTTCGGGGAGGTTTAGAAGCACTGGCTCTCCCATAAATGATATTTTTTCTTCCTACTTAACAAGATTAACCTTTGTTAAAGAAATAAGGTCTTATTTTCTAGAAGAAAGTGTTATGTATTTTATTTGGGTTTAATAGCTTAATAATTTTTTTAATGTATTTAGTAAGGTTCTACAGGGTCTCACTACACAGATTGACTCATAGTGATCCTCCTGTTTTCAGCCTCCCAAGAGCTGGGATTACAGGCACACACCACCATGCCCAGTCTCAGTGGCCGTCTCAGCACGCCTCAGGGGCAGAACCAGCACAAAAGCCAGGGATTAATAGCATAATAAGAATTTTTTTATAGTTTTATTGAGAATCAGCAATGAGACAGTTTCAAGTCAAATTGGTAGGACAGTTTCAATAATTAACACATTG